GTGTTTCCACAGGCAAATGAGGCAACCCGCCCTCCCACTCACGAATGGAGCCATTCTTCCACCCAAAATAATTTCAGTTGGAATAAAATGACCATATTTCTCAATAATTTCCAAGAATTGTCAAGGCTCTTTCGTTTTGTTTTGGCTCTGAGATAATAGTATTACAGGTGGAAAATATCGTTAAGGTCGGAGTAAGAGAGAATTTTTTTGCGCTGATGAATTATTATGACACCAAAAATATCATTAACGCGTAAAAATCCTGTTATTAGTAATTCTTATCTTTCTACTGAAAGTTTGCAAACAAAAATCTAAAAATTGAAAATTTTAATAATAATGTTCAAAGACACTAAAGAATTCCCAATGTTGCTTTATGTTAATGTCTATGATGTCTTAATTTCAGATATTAAATCAAACGACTTACACCAAAAAATATCGGAACAACTTACTATCAAATTCTGATCAGGAATTAGATGAAGTCGAAGGGAAAAGGTTTGTTGAAGGTAGACTCATTGGTTTGATGACTATGAGAATAAAAAACACTGTCAAGAACATATCTGCGAAGAGGTGCTCAGTTCGTACAATTTGTCTATCGCTGACCCAAACAAACCTATAAAAGAAACATTAAATAAAAGACCAACAAAAGTGGTCTTATCACTTTTGAATCCCATTTCAGTGACATAAATCTTCTTGGCGCAGATTTTCTGGACCTTTATGATGCCCAACTATTTGCAGACTACGGTAAAAGTTATTTCACAATAAAAATTAAAAACATAACTACTGAAAAAACAGTTGCGACTTCTATAACCAATACGGCCGATATTAATCCAATAGTTTTTGCAGGGCCTATTGTTATTTTGTTAGTAGTGATTTTAGTGTATTTGTTCGTCAGGTTTAGGAGAAAAATGACTACACCTTTCCGTGAATTACAAAACTTGCCCAATCCAGAAAAAAGCCTATTAGCAACGAGCAGAACAGGAAGCGGAAAAGCAAAAAGGGAAGAAAAAGAATCTCAGTAAAAGTCTTATTTATTGTTATGATTTATTATTATTCTGAATTTAATATATTCTCTATCAAACTTTCTTTCTCCATTTCCATTATTCTTCCTTCTTCCACTATTACGTTTTCTATCGCTAATAACTTTTTTAGATACCAAACCTCTTTTTCTTTACTTACTGCTAAATTAACGAATCTTTATCTTTTGCAATTATAATATTTTTTTTTTTATTCAAAGTTCAATTGAACAAAAAATTTATTTATTATTTTTCATTGATATACAGTAAGTAGTCGTCTAATAAAATGAAGGTAATAAAATAATATTGGAAATTGCGCCGGCTTCTAGGCTTTTTACATGGTAGAAATGGCGTTTCTTTCTCACTACTTCATACTATTAGCAAGTTGTCATTATTTTTGCAGTCTAACTATTTATTAATTAATTTTACAGTACTAAATTTTGGATCCCTCCGTCATAATAAAAGCTTTTCACGGTAACTTTCCCAATCTTTTCCTGGTAATTCCACAAATTCCATGAATTCTTGTCATTCTATATTCCTTTAATTATTCGTTAACGTAAATAATATAACTAGATTGATAAACACATTTTTTATTAGAACATTACCGAATATGAAGAATTCCTTGATTATATGAATTATTTGAATTTTAGATTTTTTCTCACGTATATATAGGATATCTATTGAGTACTCTTCAAATAAATGTCTAACTCGTTATTTCCATCTTTTCACTCTCACTATACAACACAGCTTAACCAACTTCCTCGCTCCATAAAAAATGACGTCTCACAACTCGAAAATATCCACTAACAATAGAGAGGCGAGTAGTATTCATCCATAAGTGGAAGAATTATGAATCGTGATCTTTTCAATTATACAAAGAAAAAGGATCGTCAGCGACTAAAAACAACAGCAAATATGACCCCAGATTGGACTGATATTCTTAACAGGTTAGTTTTATTCGAACAGACTCTTTCGGAACGAGAAAAAGTGATACAGTAACTGATCGAGAAAATCTGTTGCATCAACGTGAAGATTATTTTACAAAAGAAATGGAATGAGCAAAATTAGAAATTCAGAAGACGATAACTAACAAGATTAAAATGGAAAACGACGCAGAATCCCAACGTTTCGTTTGCAAGATGAACATGATAGATTCGTAGATGACCTACGTTCATTAAATCAAAAATTGGAGGACCAATAATTTCTTCTCGTGAAAGTGCTGTGAGTAAAACCTTAGATATATATGAATTGGTGTTATTTACGTAGAGACGTTGAGAATGACCCAGAGATTCGAAAAAATACACATTTCGAAGAAGAGAGCAAGATAATTTTTCCTACAATAAAACATTAGGATTAGAAAAATTACAAAAAGCCGCTATTAAAGCAACCGATCATAGATTATTTTCTGGATTGCGAGGTATATTTAAAAGAACTCATTTATTTGTACGAAGCATCTTCTTGAAATAAGTCTTGCGCTTTCTTTAGCAATGATTAGGCCATATTCAATGGCTAATTTAAGTTGTTCAAGTTTTTTTACACGCAAACTATTACATAAATCTGGGCATTGTGAAGCATTGTGCTGAATGCATGATTCCGGTTGCTCAGCAGTCTCTTGATGAGGTACTTCCGAGTTCTCAAGACAATTTAGTCGAGACTATCCAAAGGGCACTTTTTTTTTGTTATGGGTTCAGCGTTTATCTCATCATTCTTTGGGGTAAGGTTTGCCCTTTGCTTCTTATGGACGGAAAGAGGGACAGTTTTCCACTACTATTTACCGTGAACTCACCTCTCTTTATCCAGCCTTATATTGCCAAGGCACACCTAATATTATTAATGATTTATCTTTCCTATTTTTATCCCTCTCTGTTTCGAACACTAAGAATTCATCACTAATAGTTAATTCATTTTTCCCTTGACCAATAGTTATAGGCAGGTCATAGATTGCCCCTACTGTTTTAGCCAAACTAGCTATACGTGTAATTTCGTGAGAGCTATTTTTGTCTATCCCTATTCCCAATTTCTCGGCAATATTTTGTGAAATTATTGAGGTATCTGACCCGTGTCAATCACTGCATAAGGTATAATCGGTATAATCTCTGTATTTATTTTGCAACAAACCGTGGCCACATCATTTGGAGCCTTAAGACGAATAAAATTTATCTCAAAAGGCTTAGGGTAGTACACAACCGATCTTTTACATGACTGCATCTTATGCAATTGGGAATCTCCTGATCCTTCATGATTTGACTCTTGTGACTTTGATACGTGATTTGGTACCAGAATATTCTGTCCTAATCCCGTAGGTTGCTGTATATATCTAGGTTCTTCACCGCACCGAATACTGGAAGAATAACAGTAAGCGCATTTTCAGAAGTAATGTAATTGACCTGTAATTGATAGACCGCTGGTAACAAAATATCGTTATATAAGCTATGTTCAATTCTTGATCGTATCGGATTGACTGAAAAAATGTAAAACCAATCAGACCATAGTTACAATTGAGCTCAGTTTTTTGATTGATCGGATTGGTTATATTACAAATTTTTGTAGATCTATTTTGACTAACCGCTGACCGCATTAGAAACCAATTATCTAAGGGTGCAAATTTACGATAATTCCGATCCGGTCTAGAATTGAACAGGGCTATACTTCTGTGACCTGTTTCCATATATCTCTTCCTTCTCTTCGGGAGAGTAGTTGGAATATATTGTGCTAAGAGCATGACTTTTATGCTAATATATTCTTTGTTGAGATGACGGAAAATTTCTTGCACAATTCTTTAGGGCATTGTGCGACTAATGATCTTATTAATGATTTGAATGATGCTCGAAATATTCTTGTATGACGTTAATATCCTTTTTTAGTTTTCGAGAATAACTACTCCATTACCATTCTTAACTCCATTGTCTTTGGTTTTACTTCGTGAGCTCTGCTCAGGTTTTTCTTGGTAGATTTCTTTTTCGTTACTTCTTTAGCCTCTTACCATTCTTTTTTATACTCTTTTTTTAACTTTATTGATTCTGAAATTGTAAATTTGTAATTTGTAATTGTATTTGACGCAGATGTATAGAATATTGTTTTTTGTTTGATAACCTATAAAATGACTTATATTTACTTACTGTTTACTGTATTCTATTATTTATTTTATTAAATTATCACATATTTTCTAAAATAGTAACATCCATTGAGGTATTTTAAATATCATTGTATTTTGAAAGTTCTTTTGTAAATGGATTGAGTAATGAGTAGTTGGTTGGCTATTTTCAATAGATAAATATTTAATTGTGTATATTCCTCTGCTTCTTTAATTTGCTTCTTAATTCCTCATCTTCATGAAACAGTTGCTAAAATATTATTATGAACGCAATTTGCAAAAGATTGTCTTCCAATTGCAATATAATATATATACAGTAATTATACCAAAATCATACATATAAACTGTTTCTTAAGTATATTTATGAAAGTAATTTGGCGACAACTAATAATACAGAATAACAAATAAATAAAAATTATAACTTTATATTACGAGTATAATGATAACATAGTGTGAAGTATAATTTTTGTAATAATAATAATAATAATGTTAATTTTATTTTCAAAACATGATAATATAATAACAGAATTTTAAATATTCACTTTAAAAAAAAAATAAAAATAAAAATGAAATAATGAATATGTTAAATATCATCAAATGTTATCATACCAACATTCAATAGCCCTATAAAAAATTTTTTATCCAAATGTTTACATTATTTCTCCATGGCTTTCATAAGAATTCTGTAAAAATGGTACATTCACAGAAAAAACTAAAATATAAAACATGAATCAACATTTTTTACAAGGTAGAGTATAGTAATTACTTTTTACAAAATTTTAATTTTAACTATTTGATTAAAACAGCAATAATAGTATTCATAATAACTTTAGTTCAATCATTAATCATACAGTCTAAACAATCAGTATCATCTTTTAAAAGATCTTCTGTAAATGGATTGAGTAATCGAGAAGTATAACAAGCTTGTGGATGAATTGATTGACTATTTCCAGTAGATAAAACATTTGTTTTTCTATATTCTTCTGCTTCTTTAATTTGCTTAATAATTTCTTTAGTTTTATCAGAATGAAAAGAATCATTGAACAATTTTTCTATTTCAATAGAACTTGGTCTTTCATCTGGATCTGGATCCCAACATTTTTTCATTAAATCAATATAAAATTTTGGTGCTTCTTGTTCATTTATTTCAGGTCTAATTCCATTACATATATTTAATGCTAAAATATTATCATGAGCACAATTGGCAAAAGGTTGTCTTCCAGTTGCAATATAATACATAATCATACCAAAACTATATACATCTGCTGCTTGATTATAAGGCTTTCCTCTTAATATTTCAGGAGCTACAAACGGCATAACTCCATAAATTTTTGTTTTGTCTACATTACTAACTTCTCCACATAATCCCATATCTGATATATATATATCACTTGTAGAATTTCCAGAGTCAGTATAATTGGAACCATACTTAATTGATACCAATATATTTCCTGTATGGAAATCACGATGAACCACTTTATTTTCATGAATTTTTTTAAGACCTTTAGCAATATTGCTTATTACACTCCATTTTTCAGACCAATGGTAATTTCTAATGATAGTACTATTGTAATTATTAAGATTTCCACCATTTGCATATTCAAGTACAATAATATAGTTATTTGTATCTGGATTTTGGGATATCCCATATATTTTGAGAATTCTATTATTATAAATATTAATAGAGTATGCATTAGCCTATCAAAAAGTAAAAACAATCATTATTCAGAAGTGCTTAATGAAACCTAAAAAAATAAATTTCATACCTCATTTAAAAACTCATTAGTAATATTTTGTGAATTATGCAAGCATTTTAAAGCAACTTTTTTATTACTAGTCCTATTGTGTTTCCTTTTATAATTATCATATTTTAATGGACCATCTTTCCATATTGCTGAATAGACTGTAGCAAAACCACCTTTACCTATTTCTTTAATATTATCAAACTGATCATATGGTATCCATTCAACAATTATATCATAATAATAGTTAATTTTTAATTGCGTTTTTTGAATAAAACTGTCAATTTTTTCATTTCCACTAGTCCAATTTACAAAATTTTGTTTTAAACCATTTATTTGACATGGTTTACACCATTTTTCCCATTTTACTGTATATATTTCACCACATTCTTTGCAATTACAATCATTTTGAAATACTATAAAATATTCTTTTGCATTTGGATTTTGGGATATTCCATATATTTTAATAACATCATATTCATCATTAATGGAATATGTTTTAGCCTGTTAAATATAAAAGTTGTTATAATAAAGTACTTTTAAGGATTAAATTACAAAAATTGGAAGTTTTGTACCTCATTTAGCAAGTCACTAATAACATTTTGAGAATTATTCAAGCATTTTAAAGTGACTTTTTTATTAGGTTTTCTTTTATATCTTATTTCTTTATTATTATACTTTAATGAACCATTCTTCCATATTGCTGTAGCAAAGCCATCTTTTCCTATTTTTTTAATATTATTGAATTGGTTATAAGGTATCCATTCAACAATTATATCATCATATCCTTCAATTTTCAATTGCATTTCTTGAATGAATTTATCAATTATTTTATTTCCACTTGTCCAGTTTGTAAAATTTTGTTTTAAATTATTTATTTGACATGGTTTACACCATTTAGCCCACATTTTTTCTGTATATATTTCACCACATTCTTTGCAATAACTATTATTAAGTACTATAATATAATCACTTGTATCTGGATTTTGGGATATTCCATATATTTTAGGATTTATATATCGATCATATTTATCTACTTTAGTGGAATATGTTTCATTCTGTTAATATAAAAAGTTGTTATAATAAAGGTACTTTAAGACTAAATTACAAAAATAAAAAAAAATAAAAGTTTCATACCTCATTTGAAAATTCATTAATAACATTTTGTAAACTGCTCAAGCATTTTAAAGCAACTTCTATATTAGATATTCTTTTATGTTTCCTTTCTTCTTCATTATATTCTAATAAACCATCCTTCCATATTGCTGTAGCAAAACCATCTTTGTTTGTTTTTTTAACATTATTGAATTGGTTGTAAGGTATCCATTCAACAATTATATTATCATGTCTTTCAATTTCTAATTGCATTTTTTGGATAAAATTATCAATCTCTTCATTCCCACTAGTCCAGTTCACGAAATTTTCTTTTAAGTTACTTATTCTACATTGTTTACACCATTTATAATCAATATTTGCATACATTTTATCACAGCTTTCACACATAATATCATCTTGAGATGACATGATTTAGATTTTTTTGGTTTTTTTAAAAAACAATAATCGACGTTAATTAAAGAGAAGGCTTGTTACAAAATTTAAATTGAATTGGAAATCATGTGGTAATAATTACGTCATATTGCTTTAAGTGTAACATAATACTACTCAATAAATTTGTCATACAGTGCAAATGCAGATCAAAATATAATCACTTGTTGATCGGAATGTCGATCATTTTGGAATGATACAAATGATGAATATTAGATTTTAGGCTAAGAATTACTTACCTAAATGAAGTGCCTAATAAATTTACTGCGCATTATCTTAAGATTTTTAGATATTCTTCATCAATAATTTCTTATATATTTTTATTTTGTTATAACTTAAATATTTATACTTCTCCTATAAAGTTTACAAACTAATAATTGAAAAGTTTATTGTAAATTTAATAGATATCTTTAAAAGAGCAAAAAATTAAGTGAATTTGTAGAAGTTGACAATATATTTTTCATAAAAGTTAGCACTTAATTTGTGACATACTAATATATTTTCAGTTCTTACTTTATGATTATTACAATTGGGAAACTTTAGTAATACCACATTAAGGGTAAAAAAATTTAGTGAATCTTTCAATTGTCAATTTATCATACCAAAAAATAATCAATTTGAAAATTGAACATATAATAATTTGTAAATATAATAAAGATTTCACTACTTATTTCTCATTGCTTAATTTTCTCTTTATGTTAATTATTGCACAGTGGTGAAGAGGAAGTTGTGATGATGTGCACACACCATAGGTTGCTTACTGTGCTTACTAATATAACATTGTTTAACATGTTGCACAAATAAAAAGAAATAGAAAAATAAATATATAATAAAGATTTGGCAAAATTTTAAAGTATACAATATTAAATAAAAATGGAATAATTGGATACCATTATTTGGTATTGAATTTATTTAGTACTTCACAGATCATCCTCAGTAAATCTCACATCCCGAGAATAGCAAATATCAAAACATTTTTGAACAGGAATGACCATGATAATTGATAAGCATTATTAATAAAACAAACTTTAAGCGTTTGTACATAACTTGAATAAAATTCTAAAATTGATTTTTAAAAAATTTGCTGTGCCACTTTTGAAAAAAAAAATGACAATCATAAAAATCTAAACTAATAAGTTAATTTACGATTAATTTTTTATTCTTAATAACTTATCCCGAGCCCACATTTTTATTTACTTTGTATCACGTGACATTTAATTGTTGCTTATAAATAACATTCTTAAATAAAACCCAGTTTAAAACTAATTAAATAAAATAACTCGTTGGTATTTATAAAAATATTTAACCCCTATAAAAAAAGAAAATTCGGAATTTGTCCTGAAAAGTATGGAAAATGTCCGGAAATTTTCTGTGCGTCCGGAAAACATTCGGAAACAGTCACGTTTTGGAATACTTTCCAGATGCACAAATTCCAGACATTTTCTTGACACTCCAGAATTTGTCCAGAATTTGTCCAGAATCGAGCGTCCGGAAAATGTTCCAAAACATGACCGTTTCTGAATGTTTTCTGGACGCACGGAAAGTTTCTGGACATTTTCCATACTTTTCAGGACAAATTCCGAATTTTCTTTTTTTATAGGGAAATTAATAATAATATAATAATAAATAATTGTTTTTTAAAAATTATCCTAAGACTCTAAGCAGCTAAACTCCATTTTCAACACACTTATGTATGTGGTATTAATTTTCTTCATTATCACCAGTGTTGTATTTTTTTTTTTTAATAATAAATTTCTCAAGTTTTTATAAATATTTTAATTGGGTTAAAAAACTTGTCAGAACGAAATTAAAATTTGTAACCGTTCAATTAATCGGCTGAATTAAATAATTGATTACTGTAAATTAATTAATTTATCTATTTAACTCACCAGAGGATATATATAATTTTCCCACATCATTATTCGTAATTGTTACTTTGGAAAATTTATAAAATGTTATATGAGACTTACCTAAATATTTCATCTTGGTAAGAATTTTTAATTTAAATTTTTTGTGTGATGACTATTTAATTGCAAAGTTTTTATTTTCAAAAGCGAGTGAAAATCTGAATTGTCAAAACTTTGTTTATCTTCTTGTTACGCATTATGACAAGATTTGTGTAATTTTTTCGATAATTAAAAAAAAAGATACTACATTAAATGAGATGATTGTAATGAAACATACACAAATGTATATTATAGATATCATGTGAAATAAATAATACTAAAAAGAATTTTGCAAAATGGAGTAGTGGAAATGAAAAAATTGATGAATTTATTCAAAAAATGCAATTAAAAATTGGAAAATTAATGATACAATTGTTGAATGGTTACCGTACAACCAATTTATTGATGTCAAAAAAATAGACAAAAATGATTCGGTTACATTATATTTGGAAATATGAATAAATAGTCCATTAGAATATGATGAATACGATAACAGTGAACGTAGAAGGACACCTAGTTATAGAAAATTGTCTTAAAATGTTAAATAATTAACAAAATATTGCCAATAAATTTAATGAATTTTTAAATGAAGTATAAAATTTTTATTTTTGCTATTTTATTTAAGGATTTTTATAACAACATCAACATTTTTATATACTTTTAGCAGGTTAAATCATATTCTATTAAGGGTAAACCATATTTTAATCAGGATATTTGTGCTCCAATTGCATACAAAACTCAGATACAAATGATTATATTGTAGTTCTTAATTATGATTTTTGTGGAAAATGCGGTAATCAATATACTTATATATTATAAATGGTGCAAACCATGTCAAATAATCAGCTTAAAGCAAAATTTTGCAAACTGGACCATCGGGCTTATGTAAAAATTAAGTTTTTTCAGATGAAATAAAGTAACATTTATTATATTAAGCTTAATAATCAAAAAGCTTTATTTTTATTTTTATTTCAATGTGAACTAGGTCACAGTACAAATTACAAGGACACTAAACTAGAGCCAAAAGTAATTTCCAAAACTATAAACCAAACCGCTGCTATCGTGACGAAAGTATTATGTGAAATCTAAAAATGAATATATAACTATCTATGTAATGAATTGTGTAACACGAAATATTATAAAAAAAAGAAAAAACTATATTGTGAAAAAGTAGTTTGTCTCCGTGGGTTTCTCAAGAACCCGAATGTAAAAATTACTTGACGTCCAACGGATATAAGATTGTTGGTCATGGTAAGTGTAGTCTTTTGAATAGAGAAAGGACAATTTGGCCTTACTTCTTGGTGTAGTATGCACACGGTGACATCTGAGGAATTTCTATGTGTTTCTTTGCATTTGAGAGAATTATTTTGGAAATGGCAATTTTTCTTTTTCCGTTTTGTAATAATTCCCATAGTTTGAAGTGATGTGTACGTTTGTTCCAGCCACGGAGTTGAGATTTTTATTTTTATTTTTAAATTCCACGTGAAAAAGCCACGATACAAATTACAAGGACGAACTGCCAAAAGTAATTCTAAACTAAAATCGTGACCAAACCGCCATGACGACAGCGCCACCCTGGTGTCGAAAAATAAAAACCAGTGGAGGGACGATCTGAGGAGCCAACGGAGCTGAGATCAGTGTGATTAATATGGATCACGTGATGATCTTTTGCTTAAGTAATTGTAAAATAAATATGTCAAGTCCGCTGGTATATGAGAAGTATGCAAGGGTGCTAGCAATCTAGTGCAATGGGTATGCCTTCTAATAGAGGCAAGTTGAATAATGGTGATGCAGAAACTCTGTCCTTGATGTCAAAATTGAAACTTGAAGTGTGTTTTATCAAAAGATCAATGAGGATTTGTGTTTGTTTAAGACGTTTTGGATCCTATTGCGGTGTTTGGAACATAAGCCGATGTGTATGCTTGTATCCGTAGCATTGTTACATTCTAAACAAGGTAATTGACCTGTAAAATATAATTTTGAGTAATATCGTTGAAGGATATCTGCAGTTGGGTAGATAAAACAGGATTTTTTGACTTTAGACCTTGGTGTTTGGATAATTTTTTGCTGATTGGAGCGTCGGTTGGATTATAGTTTAGCCAGCGTTTTGTGTAATACCAATCGATATTACCATTCGCTATATGGTGGAATGTTTTGTTTTTAACCAGTGAATGAAAGATGCGTGCTTGAATAAGCATATTGCTCCATTAGTGTTTCAATCCGGGCAGAAACCGTCATCCGGATAAATTAAAAAAATATCCGGTTTCTATCCAGATTATCCGACTCGGATAAAAATCCGGATATATCCGGGTAGAAACCGAAATCCGGATAAAATTATTTAAATTTTTTTTACTGTAGATCATTTTTAATAAATAAAATTCGTGGCATTCATTTAATTTAATGTGGCATTTAATTAATTAAATATATGGCATTTAATTAACTACTAAATTTGTGGCATTTATTAAATTTATGACAATTAAATTTCGTGGGATTGATATAAAAATTTATTTATAGCATTTATTTTTTATTTATAAATTTAAGTACAGTTAGTTAATGTAGTCCTAAGCTCTAACCAAAATAAATAAATACTGTAATCATTTTCTTGGATTTTTTTGTAATTTCACTTGAAACATATTTTTGAATAGTGGAAAATAATTCATAAAATTATGGAAAACAGTAACGTTCAAGATTATATTACTTTAAGTGATAATGAAGAGTCCATTGATGAAGTTACAGAAATTGCTCTAATACTAAAAAGAGGATTACCTAAAAAATTATCTAGGACACTTGGAAAATAAAGGATGATAAGTGCTAGTAAAATAAGTTAACTGTACTTGAATTAACAAGTCAAATATCAAATAATCCAAATCCCTTTAAACTAACTACTACAATGACTAAACCACAAACAAAAGTGAGTTGGGTATGGGAATATTTTGTTAGAAAACAAAGTGAAAATGGAGAAATACGTGCATATTGTCAGTTTATATCAGATAATGGAGAAAATGTACAAAAAGTTATAAATATGATGGATCTGTTGTTAAGCATGGAATAACACCACCCTCAGAACACATTATATCTGAAAACAAATCAATAATAAATGCCGTGAATTTAATATATTAAATTCAAATTATGTGACAAATCTTGTGACATAACTTAAAATTTTTCCTTGTGGTTAACGAATAATTAAAACAATAAAAAAAAATATTTAAAGTAATCATATATAATATTTTAACTCATCTGAAAATATATGAAATGTTATGATTTAAATTTTTTTAAAATTTTTTTTTATTTTTTATCCGGATTCCGGGTCAATCTGACCATTTTTTATCCGGATATTTATCCGGGTAAAAACCGTAATTATCCGGATACCTAAAAAAAAAATTATCCAGGTTTATCCGGTTGAACCCGGCAACGGATCAAAACACTATGCTCCATTGGTAGATATTTTGGTAAGTTATTCCAATTGATGAAACCTGTAGACGTTTTGTTGAAGAATTTGAAGTTAACAATAATAAGATCTTGAATATTAGCACCTGATGACGTGAGGCGATCTGCTAGTTCGTTAAATTTGTCACCTTTAACTTTTTTGAGCGAAACTATGAGATGTTTTGTTTCAATTAACCAAAATATGAGGTCACAGATAAGAAAATTATTTTGTTTTAGTCTTCTTCTAGAACTGATATTGTATGATCTGATTCTATTTTCAAATGTTGTGATGCAGTTAGCAGAGTCCGTGAAAATTGTACATATGCTGTTGAATGGGAAAGTAAATTATGTATGTAAGAATGCCTATGGCTTCACTTTTTGTAGAAAACGGGAAGAAGATAGTTGAGCCTTTGAATTTACGTTTCAGAAGATAAGGGTGTGTTTGTATCCAACTGTAACCGCTGGTGCAATTGTTGGTGCCTATCAGTTTGACTGAACCATCAGTATGAAAGTGGAAATTTAAGTATTGAGAAAATTCTTTCGCGATGTCTATTAAGGTGTGTTTGATAGAATTTGTGCAGGCTAATACTGCGTTTAATAATGCTGCGCCTGGTTTATTCCAGTTCCTAATCCAGTTCTGGATTTTTTTAAAACTGAAGAAAAAAATTTAGTTTCTTAATCATACAATATTCGGAGAATGTTGATTTTAATCTTTTTTTAATTTGTCTTTTTTTTAAAACTGAAGTTTTTTTTCAATTTCAGTTTTTTTTAGACAAATTTTTTTTTTTAATATTTTTTTTTTTTTTTGACTTTTAACTTTCTTTCCATATAGTAATATTTTTTCCTAGTTGGTTTTTTTTCGTTCTTTCACCTTTTAGGTTTGGATATCGATACTGTAGTGTTACGGAAAGGACCGATTTTTTTAGGTTTGGATCGGGCAAGTGCTGCAATGAAATATATTTTATATAATTTTTTTAGTTAGAATAAATATGATATTTTAAAAATATCCAGCCAAAATTAATAATTCTTTTTATTGTTTATTATTTATTATATTTTATTTTATTTAATATAGTAAAAAAATTTTCAAGTAAATACATCGGTATAATTTGATCAGAAAATCATGTGATTTACTGAGTAAAATAAACTTATTCAAAAGACGGGTGTTCACACCCCACTCAGGTGATCATCAAAGAATATAACCTATGCACTTTTGATGTAAATAATAAGGTTATATTCTTTGATGATTACCTGAGTGGGGTGGGTATTCAAACACGGGTTTCGAAAAAGTAAATTTTCTATGCTGATCATTTAATGTTGGGCAGAATTAAATTAACGAAAAAAAAGTAAAAAAAAAAAAAAAATTTAAATAAATCAAAAAATCAACTTTGACGCTTTAGATAAACTTGTGGAGCAGACAAAATTTTTTTTTACATAACCTTTAATAAAGTTGCGTGATACATGTACGAACACCCAGTGTAAATTAAGAAATTTTCTTTTTAAAATATTCTATGTGATTTGAAAAAGATATTAACTGAATGTGTTTTCACTTTCCATGTCATTTTTTTTTTACTTATTTTCGTATCATGTTAGTAAGATTAATTACATTATTTAAAGAAAAATTTTCAATATTTATCAATCTTTTTTTTTTTTTTAAAAAAAAAATCAAATTAATAATTTAGGAAATTTAAATAAATTTATTTAATCTATATTAGTAATTTTCTTATAATTGATTACAAACTGGTCAATTTAATAATAATACACTACTATCCATAATTCCAGTGATCAAATTATAAAACTAACATAATGATAATATTAAAAAATTATTTACCATTCATTTCTTCCAATAATTTCTCTATCTTATTTAATTTTTCTAACTTATCCAATTTTTCACAATAAGATTTTTCTAATGTTTCCAACTTATTTAATTTCTCTAATATCTCACAATGAGATTTTTCTAAGATTTCCAACTTATCTGATTTCTCTGATTTCTCACAATAAGATTTTTCTAATGTTTCCAATTTTTCCAATTTCTCTAATTTCTCATAATAAGATTTTTCTAATGTTTCCAATTTTTCCAATTTCTCTAATTTCTCATAATAAAATTTTTCTAATGTTTCCAACTTATCTAATTTCCCTAATTTTTCACAAGATTTTTCTATTGTTTCCAACTTATCTAATTTCTCTAATTTCTCATGATAAGATGTTTCTAATTTTTCTAATGCTGATAATTTCTCCAATACTATCTTATTGTCAATAGGATTATGTTTAATTTGAAGTTCTTCTAATAATTTTTCTTGTACCTTTATGAATTCTTTATTATCCCATTCACCCTCTTCAATCAATCTTTCAATTTCTACTCGAGTCTTATCAGCATCAGCATAATAATGTCTTGAAAAATAAATTTGATTAATTAATAAAATCTTGACATTATATTTTTTTTTAAAAAAAAAAGTAAAATTACATACATTACTTCAGGAAACCATGTTTGCCAACGTCTCTGATGTGGTAATAGGTAAAATAATTCAATCTCAGCCAAAATCTTTAAAAATAAAAATTGAGAAATATTAGTATATTTATAGAAAATAGGATGATCAATATTAATATTATTTACTTCTGCCTTCTGTATCAAATATGAGACTCTATTATTATCTTCTTCAATTGCAATATTGAGCAATCCAATTAACAAGTTCATAAGATATACAACAATCAAAAGGGAAAATAAAACAATCAATATTGCAACTGATGGATTTTCTGCATATGACCAATTGGATAATGCACTTGAATCACCTATTGATAAGAAAAAAGAATTGCTTAAAAATATTAAAAAAATATATACTTATACGTAATTATAAAGATTTAAATATACTGTACCTGCTAAAAATAAATATATAGCAAAGAGAGAAGTTTTAATATCTATAAACATGTTCATATTTTTATCAGGTGTTTGAATCATAGTAAATGGATTGGAGTTTATATTTCCATCATTATCAATTACTTGACTATAACTAGGAGCTAAATTCCAAGGATTATTTGGATCATTATTATTTGTATATTGTTCAAGTGAAAATTCAGATTTTGGTGATAATAAAATATAAAATGCGTGTGCAAAACTTATTATAATAATGAATATGACTATTAAAAAAGAAAATATTTTTTTTCCAACACTAATAATAATTGCAAAATATACACCAAAATATTCAAATGCTCTAAAAAATAACAAAAACTTTATATCCAAAAATAAACATGAAAAAGAAAGTAATTGAATTAGATAATTATTGTTCTTATTGTTTGTTTGAAGCCAATAAATAGTAGTGTAAATTGAAAGTACATAAGCAATTATATCTGAAATATTAAAATATTATATAATTAATTAATTTCATTTTCTTTAAAATATTGTAAATATATAAATTAAACATTTATATTTACCAAAAATATTCCAAAAATTATAGAACCACTTAGTAATATTATAAAAACATTGACGAATTTCAAAAATCAGATGAATAAATCCAAGTATAATTGAAGCAATAAAAAGTTGATGTCTAACTTCTTCATTGATATATTTCTGAGGAATTGTTGCAGCAGCGGTAAAGCATCCAAGTAAAGCCATAAATAAAATCCAAATCATTGCATAATAATATTTTCCATAAGCATTCCATTTAAAATTGATTAATGCTTCACCATTCCATGTTTTATAGATATTTCTATTTATTGATTTAGTAAATGGACTAGGTTGAGGTCTAATTAACTCTAAGAACCAATTGTAATCTTTTGAATAATTAATAAAATTAATATAAGGAATCATAAAAGTAATTGTTGGTGTTGTTGTTATATCTTTTATATATTCTCGAAATTCTTCAACATAATCAACAGCCTGAAAATAAGCACCAGAAAATACATCTGGAGTATAAATATCATTAATAAAATTGTATTTTGATAAAATATAACATATAGCCAAATAAAGGGGTAAAGTTGAAAGTATTATTAAAGCTTGAATAGCATAATATATAATTAACAAAATAAATATCAATAAATTTGTCCTTTTAGCTTTATGATAAAGTTTATAAAGTTTATAATAGTATTTTGTCCATAAAAGAGATTTCGATAAATTAGCTATTTGAGGAGATTGAAAAAATGAATAAAGGTGTAAATTTTTATTTATATGCTTTTTACTATATAAAGAAGAATCTATTATCATATTCGTTTCTGATGAATATTTTAGAATATATTCTGGATAATATTCATCTAGTAATGGCATTACAGAAGTGATAATGCTTAAAAATAACTTATTGTTCATTGGATCCTCATTAAAATAAGTCATACATTTTTTATAAATATCATCAATTAATTCTAACTTATGTTCTTTAATTGCAAATGTTAATAATTCAACTCCATATTTCAAAAGGCTTAACTTATTATTTTTTGCATCTGTAACCCATCCATTTAATCTAAAACTATCATAATTTGGTAATGGTAAAGTAGATTTTGAAAATATTCTTGTGTTATGTTGAAGTATTTCCATATATTTTTTGTTATATTGATTTAATTCCATAAAATAAAAATAGTTTAAAGAAATAGATTTGTTATTTTCACTAAAAGTATAAATAAGAATACCAAATGTTGTCAATATAACGATATCATTATTATTAAATAATGAGCTCGCAAATAAATCATAACCATTAGATGATTTATAAGGATGATTTTCAATTCTCGTGCTAATTAATTCCCATTCGGTATTAATTTTTTTGAAAACTTCTAGTTTAATTTTAGTATAATTAGAATTTATTTCCCATTTAATTAAATTTTCAATTGATTCAGTTAATTTATTTGTCCGATCACTAATTGTTGTGGCTAATGTAGATACAGTATCCATATATGGATTAAATGAATGAACATTTAAGTGATTGTAAGTTTTCTTGTCATCATCATCGCATTCAATAACTTTAGTTTTTGACATATTTTCATAAAATTTAGATTTCTGAACACGTTCATTTAGAATTCCATCAGTTTGTTCATCATCTTTACCAAATATTAGATTAAGCCGATTAAACCAATTTTTGTATTTACTATTCCAGCAATATTTTATTTCTTTATCTGGTGTATAATAGAAAAAAGAAGGTAAAAGAAATAAACCAGTATGATTCATAAAATTATAAAGTTGAATATCTAAATAAAAAAAAATAGTGATTTAATATGAGTAATAATTAAAGTATAAATAAAATTTATTAAAAATGGTTACCATCATTTATATCCAAAGAAGCAATAATAATTCCCAATTCGATTGAATAAACGATGATTTTATCATTGACTTTTAAAATATTAAACTTTTCATTACTGAATATTCCGATTTTTTTTGTTTCAATCTAAAAAATAAATAATATTTAATATACATCAATTGGTTTAAAAATAATTTTATAATATTTATTACCTTATTCTTATCATTACTATTATCAAATATTTTTACACTCTTTTCAGTATTAATATTCCATTCATAAATGTAGTCACCTGAATACAGGTAAACTTTATCATAATTTGATATACTAATTAATCCATAACCACTATCATTAGGTATCCTGTAAAATCTCTTACATTCCCATTTGTTATTTTTAGTTTGTGTGGAATAAATCCAAATAATTCCAAGACAATATAAAATAAATTCACCTTTCAAATTAAAGGTACAATAAACTTGATAAACATTTTTATCAAAACTTAATGAAATTTTTTTATCTTCATTATTCATATCGATTATATCGTTTATTTTGCCATCTACAAAAAAAAAATATTAAAATAAATATCAATTACCATAAGTTTATAATTACATAATATTACTTACCAGTATTAAAAAGTTTCTTATCATCAGAAACGCATAAACTATAAGCATATTTATCAATTTTAACAGTTTGATGAAATTTAAGTTGAACCTTATCTATATCTTCAACATTCCAACCGACAATTGAATAATCTTCATTACTATAAGTAATAAGGTATTTTTCATTTGGTGATATTTCTATCTTAGTAATAGGTTTACCATTATGTAGTTCATTATCGAAGGTAAATATTTCATCATCATTTTTATAAACATCATTTTTATCAACATCGATTTTATCAACATCTATTTTATCAACATCATCGTTAATGTCGATTACTGAAATATCACTCATTTGGTAATTTCTTATAAATATATAAATTTATTGCCAAAGAAATAATTATTTTTTTTTGCCTTTTGCATAAAAAAAAAAAAAAAATTTTTTTTATTATGAAAAGTTAAATTGAATTTTTTATTTTGAAACATATGCATAAATATGTATGGCTGTACGTAAATTTCAGCCTCTTGCAGAAAAAAAAAAAATTTTTTATTATGTAGAGTTAATTGAGCAATGATCATCTTTCACATAAAAAATTTTACATCGGGAATCAAATTTTATTCTTTTTTCGTACGTGGTTAAACATAAAATATATATATATAAGGAAATCTCAAATGAAAACATATCTTTAAACTATGTAGTCTTGTATTAAAATACTGAGATCGGCATCATTGAGAAATCCTTATTAGGAAAAATGTGGTTTTTGTTACAAAGATCGTCAGTCACGTGGCGATAATAGGGAACACACGGATTTCTAATTGTCCAACGTTTTTGTAACTTATATTTAATTAATATATAACTTATTAATTACTGAATTTGATATAAGTTACCTATCAACATTCTCATACCTATACTCATATTATAATTAACAGTGTAACATGCTAAAAACTTCAAGAATTCTACTACCCTTTTTAGTGTGGCTTTATGTATGTAATGCATACTAACGTTCTAGGAGCTATAAATTTTTCATAAAAATTTTTTTTTTTTACAAAAATCTTAAAAACCTTAGAAATATAAAGTATTCGACATTAAACTTACTGATTCAATTTGTGCCGTGAGCAAATTAAATAATATAAAACCAAAATGTGTTCAATGTAATCTGACTTCATTCAATCTATCTAATTTATCCAACAAGATGTCAAATATCTAATTTATAAACGAACGAACAGTTAACGTTAAGCTTATAAAAATTAAGATGTAAGATTATAGTGTATTCGGAAAAAGAAGTTTTAATTTAAAAAAAATTTTATACAAAAAGTAAAGACTATTTACATATTTGTAAAAATGTAACATTTTTAAAAATTAAGAATTGAGATGACAAAAATTTGAAAATAACCTGACATGAATTTTAAATTAATTCTTTATTTAATTTTATAAATTTAAGTAGTTTAAAAATAAAAATAAAATAAAAATAGTAAAGAAAAAATATTTTTTTATAAATTATCAACATTATTATTTTCTAAAAGAAATACAATTATAAATTTAATTTGTAATTATTTAATTTGTAATTATGTAATATCCGAATATTTAATCTTACAAATAGAAAAATGTAAAAAAAAATTTCATGATTTACTTTTATTTATTTAATTTTTTTTAAAAAAAGAATAAATTTAAAATTTTGAAAAATTTTTTTTTTAACGAAATCAATTTATTACTTTATTAGGAAATAAGAAAAATTACAAAAAAAGAAAAGATCTACATTATATAACATTTAGTAAAGAACATATTGTAGTGTCATAATTTTACCATAATTAAAAGGTAGTAAATAGGTCAGAAAATTAAATAATGATAATATTAAGTACTTACGGCTATGATTTTTGGGACCGCACGTCTCAGAAATTTCTATCACACACTACTTCGTTAATTCATTTCTCCGATTCATTGTAGTCCAGAGTGAAGATAAACAGCTCGGAATATTTTTGCTGTGTACTCTTGTGCAATGAAATAGATGATCATACGATAGATCTGTGCAACGGCAGAGTTTTTCACATATACCCTCAGTTGGTATTTTTTTCTGCAAATAAAATTTTTTTACTCTTGTTCCTCACATATGTTAGTTTGCACCAATAAAATTTCACAAAAAATTCTATTTAAGCCAAAAATGTCTATCACGTTACTCTGTCTCGTCAAAGGAAACACGAGTGCAAACTATCCCTGTTCATATAGATAGTAGCCAGCTTGTTGGGAACTTCAAAAAAGCTATAAAGGCGAAAAACAAAATGAATTTGCTGGTGTGGACGCAGGCTATGGAAGATGGAATTTCTGGCGATCACGTCGATCCTTTGAGTAATCTCTCACTCAAGGAGAATGAAGAGCTGTTGGCAATAAATGATATTGGTGGACTACTGGTCTGAGAAACCGCCTAAGAAGAATATTCATGTCATAGTCGAACCACCTGTGTCGAGTCGTGATTTACTCGTGAACAGGAACTACTTGACGAACTCACCTCGTTGAAGGCATTACTCAACAAGTCTGTCCATGGTATGTATAAGATTTTGTCAAGAAATTTGGGCGAACATTGTTCGCTGAAATCTCCAAGCTACTGTTCGAAAAAAGATTTTATTGACCCGGTTGTTGTATTACAGCATTCGATGTCGTCGTTAGCCCGAAACGAACGAAGAGCTTCAATTGGACCGTAAACATCGATGACGCAACCCTCGAAGGCCTCAAAAGAGTATATTCGTGAAACGGATAAACCACCAGTACTTGAAAATGATGGAGCGGTCCTAAACTTCATAAGCAATGGGGAGAGATATTCACCTCGGAACGATCAAGACCTCTCCAGCTATTCGTAACAAATAAGAGCTTCAATTTTACTGTACCCATTGAGACGCCATCAAAACCCTTTTCAGATTGGTCTTTCCCGAAAGTGTGTGAACTCTATGGCATTAGCAATGTCCCGAATCCCGACATTGACGTATTCCCTGTTTTTACATGTGGTTCTACTGATCTGAATAGCGACAAGTCCAAGACCATGGTTGAACACCTAATGGCGGAAATAAAACTTCGACAAGATGTTACTCCTCTCAACAAGGAAAACGAGGAAACAAAGTCTATTTTTCTTACTGCTATCTGGCTGCGCTGCTGGAGTCTCGTTCTGCAAAGATAATTTCAAGCTCATACCAGAAAATCTTATCGAGGGTCGAAATGGGCATAATCGAAGTTACGAAGGAAGATTTTATGAAGGGATTTGCCTAGGCATCCGTGCAGATGTGGTCAACCCTGATTCGCAAACGCAAAGCTGAAATCGAGGACAAAATGTAGATAGGGTATTTGGGATTGTTACTGATGCGTCCGAATGGTACTTTATGGATCGCTAGACAATGAAGGGAAGCCATCGTTTAAGTTGTCAGAATCAGTGATCGTCGTATACAAAAGATGAGAATTTACAGGCTAAGGTAGAAAAGGTCCTCGGGCGGTTATTGGAGGAGGTACAGAAGCTGGTGGAAGCTTTACAAAGTGGAGTATAAAGGGTAAGGTCAACAAGCGATCTTGCAATAAAATCGAATTAGAATTTAGGGACAGATAGGACTTAGGATAGAAATATAGAAACTTCGTCATGTATTCCGGGAAAAGTCCCGAATCTTTGTATTTATTTTGCATGTATTAATAAAATTTTTTCTTAGCAAATTTCGTTGATGAACTGAATCGTAATTTATTTACTACATCAATAAAGAATTCTGCTACATATTGTATCAAGCGTGGGATATAGAGATATGACAAATAAAAAAAGTGAGTCCCACTTGGATAAAATAAATCGCGCCCTATATAAAAGTTGTAATCGAAAATACAATCTGAACTTGATAAATAAATGCGCAGTAACGTTAGACATCAGTATCGCAAGAACAAGTAATTGCATGTAATTTATTCTCGAACTTTCCCGCATATTATGTATAACAAAAAGACCTTGTTGATCTCTGTATATGGGTAGCATCAAAGTTTTTAAAGTTTTTTTATTATAATTTTAAGTGGATCCGTTGACCAGATTTTTGTAATACGATCAAATTAACGTAATTTCTCTCAAAAAGCGTATTCCAAAATCGATCCTGCGAATTATATAAAAAGGTGATGCTCCGATTAGTGAATCCTTTTATCTGCCTTGCACAAGAAAAGCAAAAATCGAATGAAATTATTCAAACCAATCTAACTTATTATTTGTATCATCGATCTTTACAATCAAACAAACTCATATATTCAGCAAAGAATAGTAAGGTAGGCTCGGTTAGATTCTAGGAGAATGATATCACGATGCTAATCGATTTCCCTTCTCTATAGATGTTCAAAAATGAAATGAACATATTATTCTTCTTGATATATCGACTTGTTCTTCGCCGAGAAAATCTCTGATGACCATCACGTATAGCATCAGTGCATTAAAATTTATATAAAACATCTGAATTCTTAATGTTTGGCGCAGAATCGTACTTGCGACGAAATATCCAAGCAATATAATGAAGAATTAAGTATAGTGGTAAGTGTGTGAATTGGAAATATTACATTGCTTATATTTAACCCAGTTGCAAACCCCCGAATTTATGCTATAGGTTTGAAAAATTTCAAGCAAAGTATTCCGAATTGTCAATTCAATGGCGCCCAAACCCTTTTAATTCCTAAAAAATAGATAGAAGTGAGTACATTGATTATGCAAAATAAAGCAAAGGTTAACTACCTCAGATAATTCGTTAGGCAATTTATGATCTGATATGGGATTATCTGAACCACAGAGTTCTTGTGTCTCTTCATTACTGTTCTCGTCCTTATGTACATCAAAAAAGGTTTGCAAAGTCATTTGAAAAAAAATTACATTTACACATTAACTAATAATAATATAATTACTTCTCGGTTCCAAGATGACATGGAGGCGCTGGATATACCTGATGAATAAATTCAATGTTCAGGATCGAATCTGTAGGGTAGAAATTTGACACTTGTTATAATGGTTATGGCTCAAATAAAAGTCTTGATTTTTCTATTTTCAATCCCTGCGGCTGTACGAGCTGATGATGATGAAAATGAAGATGGTTAAAAATTTGAATATGCAGTTTATAAAAAGAAATGATTTTCGGTAATGATCATAATAGCAGAAAGATCGGATTGGTTCACAAAAAAAAAATTTATTCTAAATTAAAAATTTATTTATTTTTTTTAACAAATCAACTATTTTTAATTAAAATGTACTACTTCCTTTCCATTATTGTAGTTCGTACTATGATACGCGTTTTTATTTTTTTTTTTTATATACAACAAAAATTTAAAGAAACAAACCATTCACAATTATAATTCAATAATCTGTCTCTTATACACATCTAGATGTGTATAAGAGACAGATTTTATACCGAACACACCGAACACACCGTGAACACATACAAAAAATTATGCAAACTTGAAGTATTCATGCATAACTTTATATAAAAACTATTTTTGTCATTTTTTAGATATGAATAAAATTGAAAATATGAAAATTTGTACCGAACCACCGAACACACTGAACATTTGCAAATACAAGCAAATACAAGTGAATACATATATGTAAACAATATAATTTTTATACATTTTTTTATGCACACTACCTAAAAATATATTACTAAAGTTTTAATTTTGTTTTTTTTAAAGGAAAATTTGTTTTTTTTTAATTTTAATTGCTGTGTTCGGTGGTTCGGTGTGTTCGATTTATAAAAATGATCGACATTCTAATGTCAACATTTCTGAAAACGGCAATAAAATAGACATAATAATTCAATACTAATAAAAAACAAAATAATTCATTTTTTTCCTATTTTTTTAAAAAAAATAATGAAATTGTAGCACAACATTTAATTTTTTTTAAAAAAATAATACAGAGAAAAATTATATCATAAACTATAACATAATACACTAAAGAAGAAATAAATTATCTAAGATTAAATAAAAATGTGGCAAAAATAAAATAAAAATTATTAACATCGATTAAAATTAAAATTAAATTCAAATTTCGGCCAGAATTAACGAAATTTTGGCCAGAATTAATAAAATCCGGGTTGAGTCCAAACCCGAGAAAATTTATGATAATCAAATGCCGGCCCCGGGTGAATTTTGATAGAAAATTTGCCAGCCTAAACCCGGATCCAGGTCCAGGCTAGGGATTGAAATCGATTCAATCGAAAATCGAAACCCGAGAATCGATTTAAGAATCGATTAATCGTTTCTCAGTAATTTTATCAAAAAAATCATTTTTTAAACATTTTCGTGATGCAACGCTTTCGATGATCTCAGCGGCACAAATTTTTAGGTGGATTTTAACTAAAATACTAAAATAATCTTTATTGTAAATTTGAAAATTTTTGATTAAAAAATAAAATAATTTTATTTTTGCACTGAATAAAAAACCTGAAAATTTATTAGCTAAAGTAATTATTATATAAAAAGTCAAAATTTGTTATCATTATAATAAATATGCAGTAGACATATTTGGCCCGCATTATAGAATTATATTTAATTCTGGCCAAAAGATGATCCAGGCCCCTGAACTCGAAAGTCGAAATTATCAATCAATAAAAAAATTTTTTTTTAATTAATTAAACATTCCACAATTAACTTGGATAATGTTTGATTAAATTCTCAATTGTCTATTTACAATATCCAATTATTATTGGTCAAAAAAGCCATCACAATTGTTGAATTTTTTCGTTAATTCTGAGATTTTTTTTTTCATTGTGGTGTGGTTATAGAAACAGCAAGATTATATTTGCTGCGCCAAAATATAAAAAATGGGATTCGATTTTTAGATTCAATTAATTGATTCTATTAGATACGATTCGATTTTCGATTAAATAGATTTTGGTCGATCGATTCCAATCCCTAGCCCAGGCCGGGTCCAGGTTTCTGGGTTCCGCAGGTCCCGTTTGCAGACCTCTACACCATTACTTGATCAATATGGCGAGTTGACTTTTTTCGAAATATATAATTTATATTGCTAAAATTTGACTTTTTTTCCCTTACTTATTAATGAAATAGCGCGTGTTAAATTGATAACACTTTTATATTTCAGTTCTGTAAATAGTGCTTCTATCAATGATCTTTTATATAAATAATTCCAACAGACAATGTTTTAAGCGGTAAGAATTTTTTATATATCTCGGGTAACTAATCTAGCAATTAATTTATTTATAAATCTCCGATTGTTAATTTATCATGATATCACATATTTTAGAGTATCAAATTTTTGGCGGAAGGGTATTAATAGTAGTCTTTATAGAACTATAAAGGTGAAAAAGGTAATCAGTCTAAATGATCTAATTTAGTTTGTCAGTGCAAAGATTGTAAAGTGGACGAGTTTATATATATATATATTTATAATAAATCCATTTATTTTTTTTACATTTAAATGTTTAATAAAAGCATAAAAACTTGTAAAATATTTTAACCAAAGCTAAAAAAAAGAATAAAATTTATTAATAAATGTATTTTTAATATGTAATAAAAATTTATAGTAAATTTTATTTATTTTTTTTTTTTTATAACAAAGGAAAAATTTTATTAAAAAAAAAATTTGAAAACTCAAATTATACATCATGATTACTCTAGCTATTAAACAAGATCGAATAAAAACTAGTGAAAAGTTGGTGACTTAAGATTTTATGTTCAAAGGAACTATCTACCATCATGCCTGCCCAAATAGGTTCTTAAAATTTGCTAATAACAAAGCTAAAAGCAACAATACTACTATTCGTACATCCTTTGGTGAATAACCATGAGAGACTTTTCCACCACAACACCTTGAAATACTCCACAACTACATAGAAATAATAAAATTTTTCTATGCATAAGTAACAAACTATATAAAATAAAACACAATACAACACCAATTTCTAAATGTTACTATAATTTGTTATAAAAAAAAAAGTCATATGATAAATAACAACACATAACATTTAAATTTTTCAAAAGCTACCAATAATTTTCTTAAAAAATAACCGCATACATATAAAAAAAAGGTATACAAAAACAGTAAATACGGCTGAAAACTATAAATAAAGTTTTCAAATTAAAATTTCTAAAAATAAAAATCAAAAATCATTTTTCAAAAATAAAACTGAAAATACATGCGAGTGAAAAAATACAGGACCATTGTCAAAAAATAATTTTTCAAAAAACTGAGAGCCTACGGGATCAGCAAAATATCCGATAAAAGCTTACTGTGAACTTACGGGAACAGAGCCTATTGAGAGCCAACGGGATCAACTATCAAATATATAATTTTCCATAAAGACGTAATAAAAATATGATCCAAAACTTAAAACAAACACATGATAAAATTTCATATTTGACTACTAATAAATCTCGATCAACAAAAACTATTGGTTGATCTTCAATTTTCGATCTACTAATAAATCTCGATCGGCAAACAATATTGCTTTGATTTTCAATTTTTCAATGAAATACACGACAGGAAATTGCCTAAAATATTTATTGATCATCAAGGTCACGTGTATACTCCAGAAAATTTTCCCATGAAAGAAAGACAATATTCTTTAACAAAGAAAAAAAAAGGGAAAATATAAAAAATTTCAAATGTAAAATATAAAATATTAAACATTTCAATAAATACATAAAGTTTTAAAAGAAAAAAAATCTAATAAAACTAAAATGCCTCTTTCTAAATAAACTTGTAAAATTGTTTTTTGTAATTTTCGAACTAAGCGTCAAAATAAATTAACTAGTATAACACACTAGTATTCTTAAGCCAAGTAAAAGGGCCCACTGCATATTTGTGGAAATTATTTTTCGTATATTATCAAAATACTATAAAGTTTTTTCTTTTACAAAAAAACTATTGCTACCAACAACTGGCTTAAAAACTGCGCTATCATAAAAAACAAGAAATAAAAGAAAGAGTTTAGGTTTACAAAAAAGGGACAACTCTTAACAGAATACTTTTCAACCATATAAAACACAAGAACAAGTAAAAAGAATGTAAAAAAATAAATTTATATTTTTCTAAAAAATTTTTATAAAATTTCGAGTCATTTTAATCCCCAGCAAAGGCATATGTGTTCTTCAAAAATTTTTGGTATGTAAAGGAAGGAGAAAGAGTTTTAATTTTGGTATTAATTTATAGTAAATTTTATTGGCGATAGTATGATTTTGAAGTGGTGATCATCCTGCATGACCTTCCTTATTCATTCACTTTTTCGCTTAATTTGTAGTTTGTCCTCTGATCTTCATGCAGATTTTCATCTTTTTGGGAATGCACCATGTGAACTTCGTAGTTGAATCTTATACTATAGCTATATAGCTATATAGCTATAGCTATAGCTATTGCTATTGCTATTGCTATTGCTATTGCAATATTGCAATATTGCTTCTTTGATATCATTAGAATAAAATTACAAAATATTCATTTTTGTGCCACTTTTACTACATATTAACTTGCGGCATCAAGCAATAAGTTTTATATTTGTATTTAATTTTGTTGATCGTTATTGATTTTCAAAGAAATAAAATATTCAAATATATTTCTTTTTTTCGTTAAAAAAATTAAAACGTGTAGATGATCATGCAGATCTTGTGATAATCAATTAAAAAGTGTTAGACGAAATTTTTTTTCAAAAATTTAAAATTTTTTCTTTTTTTATAAAACATCATAAATTTTTTTTACATTTTTTTTCTATTTGTAAGATTAAATATTTGGATATTACATAATTACAAATTAAATTTATAAGACTTTCTTTTAGAAAATAATGTGATATTTCATAAAAAATATTTTTTCTTACTATTTTTATTTTAAACTACTTGAATTTATAATTAATGAAAGAATTAATTTAAAATTCATGTTATTTCAAATTTTTGTCAACTCAGTTCTTAATTTTCATATTACATTTTTTTTATATAAAATTTTTTTAAATTAAACTTCTTTTCCAAATACATTATAATCTTCACTTTGGACAAATG